GAAATCTCTGGGCCTCACATCAGTCGAAGCACCTACGGTTCCTGGAATAACAACATCCAGCTACCTGAGGAGCAGGCAGGAGAAGTTGGGAGAAGTCGGGCTTTCTGATGATGTTTCTTTGCTGTCCTCCATGACCTCAGAAAGAAGCCAGTGTTGCACTGCAATGGAATCATGTGGGCTGGAAATGGGAAAAAAAACTAGGACAGGCTTTTTTTGAAACATCCTGCCCAGCCCAGAGAAGATCTTGTTTGTTGAAATGGACCACAGACATGTTGAGCCCATGAACTGAAGAGTAATGGGAGTTCCCCATCTGTCCCATGAGCTCATGGGGACAGAGCTCCAAAAGAGAAAGGAATGACTGAGTTCATTAAGTATTTATCTTTCTGGAGGAGCAGGCCATGGCTGGACTGTGACTGCCAAGCAATGCCTTGCCTTGGGAAGGTTGGGATGCAACAAGAAACAGCCAAGCAGCACCTCAGTGACCCTCGCAGGCACACCCTGAGAAAGGAGCGAAGGGGGGGGATGCAGGCAGGAGCCTTGCATCTCCAGGAATCTCTTAACATCATCTTGTCCTCCACATTCAGCTCAGTCTACTACAGCTGACCTTAACAAGAAGCCCTGGCTCCTCCGTTCACTCATGTTAGTGCAATTTGAAGGAAATAGGTGCTAGTGTAAGCTTTTCATGTCAGCTCCTTGGCAAGAGAAAGAGACAGTCACTATTTGCCCTAGAAAGCAAATTCTAATTCTTAACATTGTACGTCATGGTTTTTATGCACAGTGCAATTTACAGGCCGGACAAGCAAGGCCAGTGGAGCCCAGGCTGCAGCCAAGCCTGGCAGTGAGTCCATCAGCTGTGGAAATGCCAAAGTGACAGGTTCGCTTCGTTAGCTGGAGGCCCAACGTTTCTTGGGCATGCTCAAGAAACTGGAAGAGAAAAGGCTGTTCCAGGGATGGGAGATGACTGGAGTCTAGGGAATGCTTTGGGATGGAGGGCAAAAACAACACCTGCTCCAGTGTCTGAGGGACCAGACATGCTTTGACCCCAAGTTCACACGTCCATCCTTCCATCAACATAAATGGTAACCTTCACGGGAACACAAACCTCCTTTCCTTTTGGAGTTACTTAAGTTCCCCAAAGCTGACCATGTCATGCCTAGGTGCAGAAATGCCCCTTCTCCTCTCCCTGAACCAGCTGTATCCAGAGCGGAAGACTCTGCAGAAAGCTACTGAAATCTGAGCAAAAAGTCTTAGATACCTTCCCTGAGTTTTCTGTCAGGTTTATTTCTCCTGCCCTGCTCCCAATTGTTGCTTTCCAAAATCCTTTCCTGACTTTCTCCATTTTATCACTGTGTGTGAACATCCTTCCTGATTAGTTTACTAGCCCTCGCCACTGGTTCCCCAATAGCTTTTGCCCATACTGAAAACTACAAGATGTTTTACTTTGAAGCAGACGTAATTTTTTTTCACAGCTTTATGTGACTTTCAATCCCTTTTGCCTCTTCATTCTGAAAATACTTCCCTGGTTAAACAAGTCCTAAGCCTAAAATGAGGAAAGCCCTCAGTTCTTGAAGTTGCTGATTTACACCATTTTTTGATGCTGTAAAACAAGAGTTAATCCATGTTTCCACTGCGGAGGACTGTTTGGGGCTTTTTTTAAGGAAGGGGAAAAATTTTCCTTTCATTCTTTGCCAGCAATTTCCATGCAAATAAAGTTTCCAGCAAAAACTCGGTGCCCAAGCGCGAATATTTTATCCAGAAAGTGAAAGATTTTCTGTGAACAATTGCAAGACTTTATCCAAAAGTCTTGAGAGGCTCATCCGAAATATTTCTTTCGTTAGCTGGAAACAAAGAGCTACCGAGGGAGACGGGACGGAGAGCCCTCTGTGAACCCGGGCGGAGGGTTAGGCCGGTGGGGATACTGCCGAGCCAGCGCCGGGGCAGGGCGGGGCGGCCGGCGGGCACCGGCCAGGACACAGCGCCCGGCCCGCTCCGTCGGGGCCCCAGCGCCGCCCCCGCGGCAGCTCCCCGGCGCGGGCGGGAACAATCGCCGCGTTGTCCGGCCGCGGCTACAGCACCGAAAACTCCCGTAAATCAGCAACTTCAAGAACTG